TGTTGTCTGTCCCCCAGAGAGGAGGTCACATATAGATCCTTGTAATCAGTTCCCTTTCCAACCCACTCTCCCTCTACGCTCCCAGTATCGCCACTCACACTCCTGTTCCTGAAGGAACCATCTGTCCTAGATTCCCTGTGTTTCCAGTTCCTATCTGTACCAGTGTACATCCTCGGGTCTAGCAGACTTTGCCCACTTTTTAACTGGATTATTGTTTTCTTTAGCGAGGTGTTGCTGAGTGCTATAGATTTTTGTGATTAGTCCCCTGTCAGCTGTGTCATTGCTAAAGAAAATTTTCCCAATCCATGGATTCTCATTTTACTCTTTTAATATATATGTATGTTATTTTTCACTAAGTCCCAGTCATCAATTTTGTCTTTTACTGATGGTGTTTCCTTTTTTATGTTTGTTGGTGTATGTGTGTGTGCCCTGTAAGCTGGATGGCCCTTAAGTTTGTCCCAGTTTTCTTGTTGATTATTCTTAACGGTCTAGTGTTTATATTCAGGTCTCTAATCCACCTTGAGTTCCTTTTGGACCACTTTTACTAACATATTATTTCTGGTACACCTTGTAAGTGATGGAGGGCTTCACAGTTGGAAATGGCTGGATAAAGTATGAAGATGATGAAGAAGAAGAAGAAACAATGAGATTTAAACAAAACAATTTGACCATGTGGGTCAGGATATTAACCTTCTAATAAAGGACATGTACTACAGCATAGAATACCCTAGAGTTCTCGCAGTAAAACTATAATATTTTCTCTTTATCTGAAAATTAAACCTAGAAGTCCTAAATACTAGTTAGGGTCTGAAGCATAAATTATCACCTTTTTTCCCTCTTTTTAAGGAATTAGTGACCTTTTGTGCTTTACATTTAACAAAACAAGTATAGATTCCTTTTATAGTTATTTGGTAATTTTTTCTCAACATAGAAATTAGGTTTATAGGATAAAAATATAGGCTACTTTGAAGTATAACACTAAAAAAGAATGAACCAAAATTAATACAAACTTTTAGAGATAGGGTATTGCGAGTCATTTGGAGAACATTATCAGATAACAAACTGCTTGAGGATTTGAAAAGAATAGTGTCCATCAGCACATTGCTTTATAATTCTGTAGCTTAGGGAGAAGAGACTACCGTATACTACAGAGTCCTGCAATGTTTTAGATAAAGCATGTGCCTAAGAGTCAGAAAGAATTGGGTTTGAGTCCAGCAATCTAGTTGGTGACCTAAGAAAAGTTTTAAAACTCTCTAAGGGCAGGCACCTGGCACAAAGCATACCCTTCATAGAGGACTATAAATGAAACTATATAAAATATTTTTATTTGTTGCTACTTATTCAGGATATATACATGTGCACATACATATCAAGGGTAAGTGAAAACATTGCTACAAAATCATGGACATTTTTATTAAGCAAAAATATAAAAATATGTGTGTGTTTTTTCTTGACAAATCCTCTGTATAGGTCTATAAAGTTCTGAAGGTGGCATTTCTATTCCATACAATGGTGGAAATATTGGTCTGCCAAAAGACCATAGAAATCTGACCTGGAATAAATCGACCAGTATATGCTTCTGAACCGTGAGGATGATCTGATTTCGCCTTGTACGCTATAGACATGCTCTTAGGAAGCACCGGTTTCTGGAAAATGACATCATCCTTGGCAAAGTAGAGGGTCAAAGACACTGAGGGAACCATCAAAGAGATGGACTGACTGTGTGGCTGTGGCCACAGGCCCGACCAGAGCAATGTTGAGTGTGGTGCAGGATTGGGTGTGAGCAGTGCTTCCTGGTGTTGTACACAGGCTCGCGATGCCTCGGCAGCTACTCAGAGGCACCTAACAATGACATAACCCTCCTCCAGAGAATCCCAACTCTTCCACTGACATCATGCGAAAACAGGGGGTTTGGCACACTGAAAGAACCCAAATCATGTTTCTTTTAAAGG